TATATATGTTCTGCTCAAATCTTGCGTGGAAAATTGCCAGGAAAATAGGCCTAGGTGTGCAGAATCGTAATTGCTGCATAATTGTATTGGTAATTTTATTAAGATTTGTCAAAACCCAATTCTCGGCAAAATCTGTGCAGAAATCGGCCCTTAATATTTCCGAATTGCGCTGCAGATTTCCAGGCCAAATTTTTGCGCAGTGGATATATTCCCTGCGCAAGCCTTACTAGGCCTATATACAGCCTGGTTCATACATGGCAATCAATGACCATGGTGGATGGATGTACTGAAAAGAAGCTTGAATGAAAAGGATTCTATTCTTCTTCTTCTAGGTCTAGCCTACATAATCTCTTCATTCAAGCAAGCAAGTGGCCTAGGCCTAGTAGGCCTACTTAGTTAGACCTAGCCTAGACTAAGAAAGTAGTATACTAGAGGGCCTAGACCTAGTTAGGCCCATAGTAGGCCACCGTAGGCCTAGGCTAGTTGGTAGGCCTGGGCCTAGCTAAGCATTAGACTAGCTAGTAGGCTAGGAGGAGGAGGATGGCCGAGGAGGCTACAAGGATAGCCTGCCTAGCCATCCTACCTACTTGGCCTAGGCTGAGTCCTATATACTAGCCAAGGTATACCTAGGCTAGGCCTAGCTTAACTTCATTCAACAGGGCTAGCAGGGAAAGGCAAACGCACAAGCAAGGCCCGGGTCTAACCTTCTTGTCGATTATAATTTCGAATATTTCATCGTCTTCTAGAGGTTCACTACTTAAAACAAGCCCATTGTCAAACTCAGCAGAGGGGAGATTTCTCCGAGCTGTTCTATTTTCATTTTCAAGAATAATTAGAGATCCACAGCGCCTATGAAATTTAGCTTTACTTTTGGACCTCCCTCTTGTTGTCGCCATCTCAAAATGTAGCGAAGGTGCAGCACATCAAAGATACTCTTTGACCACATCTAGGCCTAGCTGCACAAACACCGAAAAATCTATGTTTATTGAAGTGCGCCGCCGCCGACATTCATTTAAAAAAAAAAACACAAGCAAAAACAAGAATATCGTTGTTAGACTTTTAATGCCAGACGTTAACAAATACATAATAGATGGACCCAATACCTTTATTGTCTATCTTGTTTTATCACTTGAAATATCAGTATTCGTAATGAAACAGTGGTTTTAAAAACATTAACGTATTCTGCTTGTAAGATGTGAAAGGCATTACAATGTGAATAACTTTTAACATTGTCAACATTTTTTACATCAATCATTATTGGTATTTTATGAGCCTAAAATCAGAACGGCTCGTTGGTCTAGTGGCATGATTCTCGCTTTGGGTGCGAGAGGCCCCGGGTTCAATTCCCGGACGAGCCCCGTTGTTGTTTTTTTTTTCTTTCTCTTTCTCTCTCTATATTGAGTGCTTTTGGTTTTTTTTTTGTGGGGGGGGGGGGGGCTTGTGACCTGTCCAGGCAGAGATGGGTCCAGTAAGGTTGCACGGGAGGCACACATCCACGTTTTGCCACTAAATTTTAAAACTTCAAATGCATATATTGAAATTAGCAATAAGGGGGAGGGGGGCTGGCGCCGCCACTGCTGATATGCGCTTTAAGCTTCATTTATAATATCTGTTCTGTGTTCCATTCCATTCGCCAGCCTATCGTACGTTCCATGTAAAAGTATTCATAAGCGTTACCGCTCCTGCCCGAGTCTCCTCTCACTCTCTTTAGCAATAAAGAAACACACATCTTATTCCATATGTTCTATACATATAATTTATTTGAGAATGCCAAACATTCAAAACTAATCAGAAATCTGAGAAAAATCTCAATTATCAGTCACGTACAAGTATAAAAACATTTTCGAAATCAGTACAGGGTGAAGGATATAAAAAATGAAATGATACCAAACATTCGCTTTTTGCTACTGAACATAAATGACAAAAATACCTAATACATAAATTACACCACAAATTCCTACAATTCATCTTAACAGTTTGGTCCAATTTTACAAAGGTTTCTTTTATAAAACTGTTTACCTCTTAATTTTGAGGGCGGTAAATGAAAATGATTTTGTTTTCTTTCAATAATTAAAATGGAGGTAGGGATGCATAGTATTTTGTAAAGTTTTCGTTGCACGACGTTAACCTTAACGGATGCCGTCATAATTTATTCATCTTGTGTTGTTGAGTATTTTAATTTCAGGAATTTACGTATTTCGATTGTTTACAAAAGGGGCAGAGCTATTGCATTGCATGGTGGGTACTAATGTTAAATTTAACGTCGTGCGGCGAAAAACTACCTAATATTTCGAGAGTAAGTTTAGTTCTATCAAGCAGGACTTTCATATTGTATGCCATTTGAATTGGTCCTTACATACACAATTTTGAAAATTTAAAGCTATATTTTTAAGGTTTGATACACATTTACAGCCATGTTTGCCTTGCATAGCAACCATATGCATTGCTGCTACATACCAATATACTGTTGGTTACAGTACTTTTGACTATAATATTTGTTTTGTTCATGATTATGATAAAAACTGTTATTTTTTTTTAACCTAATTATTTTTACATCTATCAACAATCTGATTGATAGTTTTGTTGCATAATACTGTATAATGGAAGCATAATTAATGGTAGTGAAAATTGTTTAAAAAAAATAGTGACTGTAACTTAATAAATAGTTAGCATTCTTCAGAAATTTATTAGAAAAATAATCACAGTAAGAGTATTCAGATGTTTGCAATCAGGTAATGATCAATGTTATGTTCACTAATCTAAAAAATAATATACTCTTAAGATGCAAGCATTTTTGTTAATTTTAATTGAAGATGATCTATGCCTAATGTTGTCACCACACCCTATATATTAAAAAAAATATCATACAAACACATCTTTGTAAATTTGCTTATCAAAATACATATATTTTATATTGATGAAGTTAAAATAGATAGAAAATTTGATACAATATCAAAAATCTCCACAGAATAATATTTTTCAGATGATTGATAATCAGTGAGATACAGAAATAAACTGACTGCAATTGTCATTGTTTTTAACTAAAACATCCCTAAAAAAATAATAGAACTGTCCATCCTTAGGCATCACATAACCAAGCTAGGCTCCACATACACCTCATTACAGAGATAAACACAATAAAAATAGAAATGCCCACAAATATTATTAGGGATGCTGTATTTAAGAAACAATGATAATAGTCAGTTTAGCCAGGTCAAGTATTAAACAAATTTCACAAGTTTGCATAATAAATATTTCTAACCAGCATTCATTATTTTAATGCCTCTTGAAATATCCAATGCTGTCAATTACTGACTGTCTGTGACGCACACACCAACTGGTCAATGTACTGTCCATAGTTCCTCTAAACCTAACCCACAAGAACACAAAATTAACTCAGGGTTTGGGAATGGACTCGCACCTGAGAAGTACAGCAGAAAATATAAACTATAGTGAACATATAGGCTAACTCCTCACAATGAGATTAGCCTATGCCTTACAATAAATTCCTAGAGGATGTCCAGTTAGTCAAAGGCTAGGCCTAACAAGCATACTGACACTAAATTAATTATCGGTTATTATAATTCCAGAAATGATATATGTGAGGTCTCACCACGAAATGAGACGCATCATTGGTGAAATCATATTGAGATATTCACCAAAACAGGCCAAAGTCAACATTTTTACAAAATTTTGATTTTAATGTTTTTGAATAACTTGATACTTATATTTTATGATTGTAAGTGAATTTTCTTGCCAAAACAGTGTTCTCTGCACATATTCTGTAATTCTAGTCATATTATTTGTACAGGTTAGTTTATCTTTGAGGCCGATTTTCTCAAAACGTGGTTCTTATACATCTAAACTTTAAATGCTTACATCTCTGGATTTACTTATTGTAGGGAAGCCATTCAAAGACCAAATGAAAGCTTATAATGTGATCTACCCAAATATAATATAAACTCAATTATTGAATTTCTAACCATGAGACTCATTTTGTGTGGAAACCGCACATAGGAGGTACACACAGTGCCGAATTACTGATACGTGGTGGGCTTCTAATTGGGTGGCGCATTTTGTATAAAAAACTATTCAAGTTACAGTGATGGGTTTCTATACCCATGGAATTTTGGTACTAAATGCAAAAATTATTACCGCCAATAAGCAAGGATATATACTATAAAATATCACTAGTCTCTGCAATCACAATAACAAATATCTTAAGTAATTTCTATGTCAAATATTTTCCTTTCCAATTCACAAGTATTTGAAAGCAGTCTCACAAGTCCAAGACAAACTTACTGCATTATAAATAGCTTACATAATTAGAATAACAAACATAAACATTGCATGTGTTGCAGTGTTGCAATGTGTTTAAATGTTAATGTACTGTACATGGCAAAGCATTTAACATACAACTTTATTATTAATATGCATATTTAGCCAGCCATAATTTTTGAACTTATTGCTATGGTTGTGTTATGTGTAGTAATACAGTAACAATATTCACGTTATCAGTGTTTTCATACACTTAGTCAAATTTACTTACAAAAGGTACATTAACCGTTCCCCACAATATAAATAATTTTTTCACATGAAAAAATGTTTACAGAATTAAACATTTGATACTTGACATGGAATTTATCAAAAATAATGTTTATTCATTCACCTTCAAAATTATTCACAAGATGAAATAATAGGGATACATAAATTTGGACAGGGAAAATGCTGGGAATAGATTTGTAGTTTCCACAAAATATAAATATTATTTTTGAGAGGAGATAAGAAATCTGGATTTGATTTATGTTATGGATGTTCAAACAAAATAAAAAATATTCATTTAATTTATTGAAGTATTTATTGTTTGGCACAAGAGTTCTACACATGATTGGATATATAAATATTAAGTTGGAATATTAATTTCATTTACTGAATATTCATGAGTTGCTAATGAGCCATGACATGAGCCCACCAATTTACACTTGTTTTCCAGGAGTTTTTCAATGACTCGTCAAATTTCATTTTGAAGTGCCTAAGTGCTTCTTCCTCGGACTTATCCAGTAGAAGCGTGTCACGAAGGTATGTGAGGGTCTCGGCTGTCAGCTCCGGGATACCACTGGACAACATCATTGCGAACAAACTAATTAGTAATTTCCCTTGACGGCGTAGGACGAGATAAGCATCCTCACAACATTTCCTGAACCTGTGTACAAAATATGAGAAGCGTTAAGTTTTCAAGCTTTGGATTAATGTACAGTAACATAAAAAGATAAAGGGTGGGGGAGGGGGGTGCAGGCTGCATTTTGCCAATACATTTTCACATTTCAGTACATACAATGCATTGTATTTAAATAAGACGAACTAGAAAACAATATAAAAATATTTTAGACTTATATAGTGCTTTTGTCCAATAAGGCCTCTAAGTGCTTCAAATTATTACCCCCAGTCATTGGATCAAGCACATTATGGAACACATACTCAACTGCATTATTCCATAATGTTGCTGCTGCAATCAGCGCACTTTGTGTTTGAACATACCAGTTATCTACTTGTGCTCCTGGGTGGAGAGAGACAACTGCAGTTAAAGTGCCTTGCCTAAGGACACAAGTGAAATGCACAGTGCGGTACTGAACTTCCGACCTCTAAGTTGGGAAGCAGAACGTGCCAAACAGCTCCCACTATATAACAAGCATGCCCCCCAACCCCTGTTTGAAAAATTCTGGATCTGCCCCTGTTGAGGTGAACTCCAGCCACTGCTTGAAATTTATTGCAACAGATTGTGATGTGGTGGATATAAGCAGTTCAGTAATTGGACTGATAAATGCTATGCTAAAGACCCATGCCTCCGAAAACATTGTCCATGATCAAATAGATGAAATTTTGCATTATACTAAGCCAAATTATATTTACATTTTATAAAACAACGTTTATTAATTGAATTTCCGTGAATTTCATGCAAAACACGTTTTTTTTTTTTTTATAAAAACATGTAAGGCTAAACCATTGCCTACCCAGTAAAGGTTTTACTGACAACTCGCGATATTACTGTAATTTATTTATTTATTTAACTGAACATACACTTTTGTTTCAGCGGCACACACAAATTTTGTGCGTTCAATGTATAAAAGAGAGAAGGAAAAACAACTAAAAATAAGTAATTGTCAAAAAAAAATGTTATACCCCATTTAAAAATGGACAGTTCTAAATCGCCCAGTACTCTACTTGTTTACACACGTGGTTCTGGGCCCCACTCTCTGCACTCAAGACTCGACCTCGAGATCGCTGCAGTTTTATTTGAAAAAGGACAGTAGTTCGCGATCAGTTAAATAATAAATCAAAACTAAAGCTCATGATTTGTTGTTAATATGACAAGTTATTTTTACTAGTCAACCAAATATACATCTCTCGATTCAGAGGACCTACAGTAGAACTTACAGTAAAGAAAATGCACTGCTGCATAGTAGAGAGTAGCCTCAGAAATTTGTGAGTAACACCCGTGCACGAGGATAAAAAAAAAGACCTACCTAGGTCTAGATTTGATTTTATATTTAGGCCGGAATGTAACGCCGACTTACCATGGCACTTAAAGTATATTTGAAGTATGTTTGGGATTTGTAATGACAATGTACCCTCCTTCACTTTTGCGAAGAAAACCCTAGCGCTATTTTTAGAACATGGAACTGGCTTAGCGCACACCGCGCCCTTGAACTCCAGGCACGTTGTCATCATGTAATTAAAAAAATCTTCATATAAGCATAGAGAAAGTATAGGCACATGTACGTATACGAAAGAATAGGATCTGCATAATAACATTTATTTGACATGCCAGTATTTCTACGCACTCAAGTGGGCCAGTTGACCGGGCTGTTAGTACAGTAGTAAATAATAGAAAATCGTCCAAACGATCAAAAAGCGTCTAAACGATTCACCGTTGTCCAGACGCGAGCCGTAATTCAAGCGTGTAGCAAATGAATATTCATATAGTGTGGTAATTAAAATGGTTGATTTCTTAGACGCATTCGTGGATAGGGTTTTGACCTAGAGGCGTTTTTGTCATGGGATAATTTGGCAATCGCGCCTAATAACAGGCAGAATGTAATTTTAGGATAATCAATGTTGGGGGAACAATGAATAAAAAAGGCTTTTACTTACTTTCCAAACTCATCATTCCTACTGTATTGTTTTCCACGAGTGATCACATAAACGAAATCAGTAGCAAGGACAAATGGCACACGTTCTCGCTTTACCCCAAATTTGCACTTAAATTTTCCAAGGAAATGTCCAAAATCTACGTGAAATAGCTAATTAAAAGGATAAAAAGGGGTTGATATTGTAAAATATGCATGATATGTATATGAAAAGAATCATAAGGATAAGGACTGGTTGATTGAAGGATCAAATATGAATATTAATTAGAGGTCAACTTAAACAGCATCGTACAAAGCAGCCTGAGACGATTTGTTGTCATGGTAGGTCTGCGTCAGACAGTCACGTCGTAGCTCGCGACTAAAAGACTGTTCCAGGTGATAAATTGTGTTTGGCTGCACCACACTATGCACCCTGAGTTGGCCTTTATGATACACACATCAAAATATATTATTTCTCTGATATACCACTAACCAGCAATCATTTGATTACAAGTCAACAAAAGGGGGTTTATACGAGTGGATAAAAATGGATTATTTACGCAGAACTTATTCTAATTTTAAAACTGAAGGTTAATTACTAGCTTAGCAAGTGAAATTATGCATTTTTTCCCAATTGTTTTTTTACAACACAAATGGCATATCTTTAATCGACAGATTTCATATCTGTAGGCACGTGATATTTGGAGATATTGATTTGTGTTCGTTAAACAAAAAATAATGTCCCACCTGCCCATTTTGTTTCACCATGATATTATCATTGTGACGGTCACCGATGCCAAGCACGTAGGTCGCCACACAGTATCCTGCACACGAGGAAGTGAAGTTGACAATAGCTTCTTCAAAATTATTCGGCACGGAGTTCTGATCCTTAAGCCACTGGTAAAGTGATGCTTTGCGGAACGTAGCTCCTATCCTTCGGGCATACATTTTCTGCACCTGGGCTATTGTGGAGGCTTGCTGAACTATCTCAATTACTCCAACTTTGTGGCCTGTTGATAGGGTTTTGTATGGAATGACTCTGAAAGAAAAAAAAAACAATTTAGAGTTATAGATGATGGATATCACTTCCAACGGAATCCCAAATAAAAAGAAAGGAAAAAAAAAACCCCTTTATTTGACCCAAAATATAAAAAATTCAGTGTAAAATAAAATTAATTAATTTATACCCATAAAGAGTTTAAAATATGTGTCTGAGGTCTGATATGTTAATATTATTTCTTCCTAAACTTGGAAGGGGCAGGACAAAAAATGGAAAATAGTTGGAATGAACATTAACAATAACATTAAAATACGTATTGAGCATTATCATATAATGTAAACATCTGTCTTAACCAAAAAATTAATAAGAACGTTGGGTACTTATCAACTTAAGCAAAGCAGAATTAACAAGCTAGGAGCTATAGTTGAAGACTAATATGGGCACTAAAATGGGCCGAGTGATTAAACATTTCATATTGATATAGAAAGTGCATTTCAAAAGACAGTGTATCAAAAAGTCATGATGTTAACAGGCCTGGTTGTTAATAGTATTTTTGTTGAAGGGTGTGATGGTATATAGGTAAACCTATCAGGATCATTTCAGCTGGTATTGGATAAATAATAAGAACTTACTTGAGGTCAAGCCCCTCTGCCTGCCACAAATTGTCCATGATCTGTATCACCTGCAGTGTCAACATATCCTGTCTCAGATCTGGGGGGTGGGGGGGGGGAGGCGGTGAGAGAAACTGAGTTAATAATATAGACATAAAAATACAGTACATTCTTCATTTAATTGACAAATATTCAATTCATATGCTTATCAACAATGTTCATCTATTCCAGTAATTGTTTGTATATAAGTGGTAATTCCGTAATTTTCAAGATGGTAAATTACATACTTCTCTCTTCCACCCAATCCCACCACATCATTTTTCTTTTTTATAAAATTGTACGGACAGAAGCAAACTCACCATCACCATTCTTGAACATGAGCATAATGTCATTACCATGGGCATCCTCATTCTCAAATACCAACCATAGAGGGCGCATCTTAGAGGTCATGAATTTACAGTCATCCAATCTGTGTTTAAAAATAAACATTTTATTCTTATTGGTAATGTGCAAAATTAAAGGTGAAATCATTGTTTTAAAAAACTGTTCAGATACATAAATAATACTGATCATATATTCTTTGCATTAAATTGATTTGTTAATATATTTAACTTTATAAGTCAGTGGTGAAGTCATCACTTTTATTTGCACTGAATTTTTCTTATTTCTGACTGATCACTAATCAATAGTGCCTCCGATTTTTTGGGTCTCGTGTGCAAAAAAGCTCAAAGCTGGGGTGATTTTACTACAGTACAATGCAATGAAAAATCCAAAGAGTGTCAGTGCGCATACTCTTTGGTACTACTACAAAATCATTTGAACATGCACGGCTAATGCACACGCACAGTAATAACCGAGCAGCTAGCACATTCATGAATTTATGATATAGGGCCTATAGCAAACCGCACTACAACCAAGAGTTTGATTATAAAAGGCCATAGAAAAGGTGATGGACGTCACAACTGACTTAAAAAGCAATTATAGTCAAGTAATTTTTGTTTATAGAGATTTTTAGCAAATAAAAGCCTACGGAACAATTATTTTCTTCGAAAATACCCTTCAGTCATGCAAGACTTCAGGCAATTTTTTCAAGAAATAATGGCTCCTTCAACTTCCATTTCTTATATTGTGCTCAAAGAATTATTATAATTGCTTAGTAGTAAGAAAGTGTCAACTTACTTCAAGCACTTGAGTTTGAACTCAGGCTGTATAGGAGAACTAAATGAGGAGAGTACTTCCATGTAAGAATCCTGCTTGAGTACAGTTTTCATCATTTGTAAGGCTTCTTCTGGATTTCTCGCAAATTGCCGACTCTTAACAAGCTCATTCACAGACTTCAGTTTATTTAGACTCTCAACCTGTAACATAAATTAACCATCAAATTGTAAACATGAAAATGACTCAGAGCAACACCTTGTCTTGGGGCTTAAATTAGTGAAATTATTGTAATAATAATAACAACTTTCAACCACTACATCAACAATAACAGCAATGACAATTTTTAAGATAACACTGAAGTGTCTTTAGTGTGGAACACACCAAGATAAACCACCAAGCCCGAAGACTCGTTTCCAATGGGTCCTTCTAGTGCAAAATTGGGCAGTACACCAAAAAAACAATCCTTACTCTTTTCTAAAGAATGTTCTGGCACAAAACTTTTCATATAACTACCAACCTGTCTATGCAAGCTGTCCATATGAGCAACACTACCCCAGCAGTAGGCCTCCAACATCAAGCCAAATCTTGTAGACACATTCAAATGATGCATCTCAGCCCTGAGGAAAGCAAACAAACATGAATGCCCTCATTTTAACCAAATTTATATTACAAAATTATACAAAATAAACTACAAAACAAGACCTAATACTTTAAGATACTTATACGTAACAACACCAGCAGAACTAAAGATACCAGGTGAAAAAAAAAACAAAAAAAAAATTAAGAATCAATGAAAAAAGAATGTTTGTGTTAAGATAACTTGAAAAGCCAGCATACTAAATTTAAAATCATAAAATTTTGTGTGTGCAGACAACAGTGACATGAAAAAGCTTCTTCTGCATATAATACGGCGAGCCATACTAGACTACAGTAAACGGTATAGTAGAGTCGAAATATTTAAAAAAGCCCTTGTCCCAAAAGAAATTACAACAAAACATTTTTTGATGTTTTTCTGTAGTGTAAGGTATATAGAAAAACATATCAAAAGTTGGCAAAAATCAGACCACCAGAAAATGGTTTTTCCAAGATGGCTGCCATAATGGCACCAATACTTTAAAACAGCTATAAATCAGGTACTATTAGTCTTGGAGTCGCAGTTTTTTTTTCTCTAATCTAATGATTTAAGGGCCAAGAATCCTATTAAGACCATTTAGAATGTGATATGATCAATAATCAAAATACAGAAAAACATTTAAAAAGTTTTCTTGCAATTTTTTTGTGGTCACATGCCAGATTGACCCTACTAGTAAAGTGAAGCAAATCTGGCCCTAGCAAGACTAGATTAGATTTTTACACAAGCTTTCATGTACTCAATATACTTCTTAAGTTGCATGAATATTCTGTAGTACACGATCCCTAATTATGTTGTAATGTTAGTAATTTTCATTGCTAAACAAAAATAGGTTACAGTAAATACAAAATATTATCACCAACCTTAAGTGCCAGAACAAAAAGTGACCAATCCTCTGGTTTGCTAGCGCCCTCTTAAGCAAGAAGCGGCACAGTTCACAGTCTAAATGAGACTCGTACTTGATGGCTTGAACTACTTGGAGGAGGTACTGTGACAACTGATCATCCCTAGAAAGAGCAATCACAGAATGCAACATTTAATAATAGAAACAAATAATCAATTTAAGGTAAAGTTAAAGGAAGGAGAATAACCTATAACGCACGGCGTCATTGTGCTGAATTGTTTATGGGTGTGGTCTGTGACTACCTAGCAGTCATAAAGAGGCGCTTGAGTAGCTACATGTTCGCATTGATTTTCAAAATCAATAAACCACATACGTAAATAAAGGCCATATTAATTTTATTTTTTGTCTCAAAGCTCTTCTATTTCATTTCATTTCTTTAGGCATGAGCACCAAGGATATGCTAATCAGTGAACTTAATCACTATCCTATGTGGCACATCCATTAAACAACAGGGGACTGAATGGACCAGTACACCGGGGTAACCCATTACTCTTTTCGAAGGGTATACTGGGTTCTTTATAGAGCACACGAGCATAATGCACTACTTGGCCTGCATGATTTTTTTTTCTAAATAATGTTTTAAAAAAAATATTTTTATTGTTGAACTAGGGTTAAAAGGCCTGTTAAAGGGCTCTCTTCACTTAAGAATTATAGTGTGTCAACACACATGTTATAGGCTATTAAAGGAGGTTACAATTTGAGCGAGATATATATTTTTTTCAAGAAAACAAACAACTTTGAGATATTTAAATTTATATGGCTAAATCAATAAATTACAATCTATTTATTATCTGTCATACAGTAGATAATTCAAAGAAAATTAATGTTCACATCAGCAATCCATCACAAAAACAAATAATTACCAATAATCAATTGTAAATTGAAATCAACAATGAGAGTCATATTAAAGATATTAACAATAACAACTTACGTTAGTCTGTTGAGGCACTCAACAGCAAAATTACGCACCATCATGTCTGCGAAATTGTAATCAAGAAGTAGAAGGGCTTCCTCTGGCTCTAACCGCGGCCAAATCTGAAGCAAAGCTTGCATCTGTTGGATCAACAACACACTTTTAATTAGGAATTCTACTACTGTATGTCACTATATGAAGTAGGAATTCTACTATGTCACTATATGTGGCAAAGTCAAGCCAAACCAGTCACTGGTTGCAAAAATCGATTTTTACAGTAAAATAAGAGCTATAAAATTGTAAAAGAATCATTTATATCTGACATTTCTTTATAAGTTACAAGCATTCAAATAGAGCTGTTTAAAGAACAATATTTGAGAAATCAGTCTTCCAAGTTTATGATTTAGGGCACTTCTCAGGCAGAGACCATCGCCAAATCGTTAAAAATGTTGTTTATTATTGAAAATGAGGAAAATAACAGCATGGCATGATGTATAGATATATAAAGTTTAGTTTAGTGCAGTAAAATAGATTTCAGTAATTTTGATGTAATGTTTTGGCCATTATTTCTGAAATGCGAATTGCAGTTAGTGACTGGTTTGCCTTGTCTGCCACATATATAAATTTGGCAAAAAAATCATCATTAAATAATAAACAATTATCATAATTTAATATCACCATTGCACTTTGGAACTTTCTAAATGCCACAGCCATTATAATAATTAGCACATTTACAAAATAACCTGTTCAAAAATATAAAAGCTTTGAGTTAATATACAACTAGCCTGATGATAATGGAAGTGAATTTCTAAAACATTTTTGGAATAAAGTCTGCCATTCTTTACCTCAGGCTGTGTTTCCTCAGCACTTACAATTTCTCCAATAATTTCTCCGATAAATTATCCCTCCAAATATTTTATCCCACCATGCAATATTATGGACAACAATGCAATGTGTTTAACACCAGAACATGCGTTTTGTTGACCTAGACCTTTTTTCTTACCTGCGCTACATCACTCCTTGAGTTCCAGCGTACGCATTTGATTAAGCGTGGCAAAGAGTGCGGAATGTGGTCTCGACAGTCCTGACGACTCATCCACACCTGTCTACACTCCTGCTCTGTAAGCGGCTCCAGTGGATCACGCTCCACCACCTGCTTCAACTCTTCAAGTTGTTGGTCCTATACATTTAAAGATTTTATCATTAAAGTAAATAAAAACCGGTAAATATAATTTTTTTTGTCAAGGAAAATTTCATTATTTTCTATTTACAGATGAATAAAAATGTTCTATGTCTACTGTCTATACAGTTCATATAATCAATATGGACCACACAAATCAGTAGTGGAGACAAGTTATGCTCAGTCAGGTGGGGTACTGAGATAGATGGTTCTAATTTTTTTCTCGGAGTGTTGTTGTAAATGGACAATGGCAATTAACTGGTTTATTTTTGATAGATTCAAAGATCACATTTAAGGCTATTATTATTTTTTATTGACTGTTTTTAAACTTCTTTCTCATCCAACAGCAATTTGCCAATTAAAGGTAGGAAGATGGTTTCGGAGCCTCCAAGTTGAGTGGTTTGTAATTGTAATAATCACTATCATACCGTTATTTGTTCAGGATGTAAATGCTGTTCCTCCTTCGCTATGTTAGCTGCATATTCCAGGACCTTTTCAAACGGTGGGTACGATATGGGTTGTTCCTGGTAACGGTAGAATGTGATAGTCAATGAGGTTGCATCTACACTTGGGTTGCTCTCGATGGTGCCCAGAGGGTTCAAATCGACATCTTCTGAAGCCGGCCACATGCGCAAACGTACCGAGTCCATTTTCAATTGTGAATTGTAGTCAAAGAATGTTGAGTTGGCCCATGCCACTGGTATTATCTCCTAAAAAAATTATGCTATTAATATAATTAACTATTCCTATACACATATAACTTACTTTATGTGTGACATCACCATTTGACTTACATGTAATAGTCCTATCAGAAACTGAGCATTACTTTTACAATATAACATGGCTTCTGTTTCTGTGGTTCCCTTATGTCAAGTTTTAGGTAGTCTGATTGTGCTCGGTTCCTCCAAAATGAAACTTTTAAATATTTGACGTTTTGTTCCATTTTTTTTAGGTGGCACTGCAAAATCTTGACTGGGTTCAGTATAAAAGCACAGGATAATATTTCAACACAACATTATTTGATTTTTTTTTTTGAGCATACATTATTTTTGGCCCTAACAATTTAGTATGACATGTAATTATGATTACTTCACTTACTCTTCTCTCATTTTGTTTCTTTTTCTTTGCACTCTTTCCTAACCTCCGATCCCACGGTGTATACAACAGGATACACAGCCTCGCCATTCTTGGAAGGTCACACACACGAATGTCAAATTGCATTGTGTGTTCCCAATCAGAGGAGAACTTTCCTGGCCTGCTATCCTCAGTGGTTTCATAATTGCACAATAAATCATCTCCATGGAATATTCCTGCTTTCACTCGAACCTACACAAGAAATTAATGCATTGAATATTACTGTATAAAGGAAGTACAGCTCTACATGTGCTGCAGTCTTCTTTCATATGAATAGTGTGAGAATCATCTTAAGTTGCTGCACCTGATGGTCGTCGCACCCACGTGCAATGGATCGTTTTTAATGACAATCCATTCAGACTACCACCACCAATCAGCAGACGGTGTTGTGTCATTGAGCATTTACAGAAGTGGAGTTGGATTCGTTGGCCAACGGCTGAATGACGCAATGAGTGCCTGGCTCTTGATGGGGAGTATAATACCCCTTTTACACTGCAAGCAAAATTCCGGACGTAACCCGGGATTTTCCAATACCCGGGTTAAAATCTCCCGAGTTGTGGTTATAGATGTAAATGGGAAATGCACCCAGATTACTAAGGAAATTACCCGGGTCGATTCTGCCTTTGGCAGTGTAAAAGGGGTATAATAGTGAGTTAGATGGCTTAGCGATTAAGGCAGGGGCATACAGCTATAATATCGGCACTGGTTCGAAGAGCATGCTAGCCTACGGTTCTGAAGGTGGAACAAGTCTTCTCTTATAACGACTATAAACCATAGGCCCAGTGTACATATTGGCTCATGTGCACTAGAACCCAGTACATCTTTCGAGACGAGTAGGGGTTACCCGGTGTGTTGGTCCATTCAGCCCCTGTTGTGGACAGACGAGAGTAGCTGGTACTGGTTTACCAGGTAGCTCAGACATGAAGAGACCCTAAGAGGAGAAGTAATATATTGTACAACTAGTCCACACCTTGAGCACTATGAGACTCCGATATACTATAAAGCGCTATATAAATCTAACTACATTACATAATAATAAACAAGGTCTACACGCTCGAGTAAAGGTAAGAAAACTAGAACAAAATTAATAAATAAGAAAACGCCAAAAAACCCACCCTAGCACCCAAACTGAAGTATAATCACTTAAAGCCATGCTTAATTTCACCTAGGTTCCCACTTACCTGGACTTTTTCAGCAACATTAACATTTACTGCTTTCTCTATGGTAATCTTAACTGGAGCTTCTACATCCCAGCTCAAAGTACGGATTTTCTTTGGAATAGGCGGTGCCTTAACCTCACATTTTGAGAGCCCCTTTATCATGGGTTGGTCAAACAATTCCTCAACCTTCAACTCAGACTTTTTAATGAGGATCAGTTGAGGTGGAACTCCTTTACTTCTGGCTCTCCTTATTGTCTAAAATAACAAATATACTATTTTTAGAAATACCCGATTCACATGGTGGAAATGCACAAATACTATGGATATTTTCCTCAGCAAAGATATCAGGGGTTCCAAGTTGCAAGAAATCATTTCCGGGAGATTTGCGGTGGTCGGTTAAAGGGTGGGGGTAGGGAGGGACTTTCACAGATGGAGAGTGTGGAACACATCAGCTCCACCATGGTTAGAGCTGAGGTAAGCAAATTTATGATTGTGGCATGCAAGTCTAGATGGACGGAAATGGCCTTCTCAGACATAAATTTGAATATAATTTTCATCTGTATCATAATTTTGAAATATTTAGGGGGCCTGGGCCGGTTTTTTTTCCTATCAGGACCCCTGATCTGGTAATGAGCTTTCTCAACATCTTAACACATTTAATTTTATTTTGCTCCACATAGTGATACCCATCGACACTGACTTCCGTGAGAAAAATGATAATAAATTAGTGAAAACATGCAAAAGATTATGAACTTGCAGAGATGTGTTGATCTCTGGGAGATTCTTGCTTGCTTGCGGGAGGCCGTCCTGATTTCTGGGAGACTTGGGACCCCTGAGATACACAGTATCAGTCTTAAGGATGTACTTTCCACACTGTCAAGTTTTATGGAAATGATATGTGAGAGTTTCCCATACATGGGCATTGTAATATACATGGAACAGCGTGATTACAGTATACAGTAAATGTGAGGTGAGCCCTTTATTGATGATGAATAAATGTTCTGGAAAAATGGAAGTCATCGTGTACGTGTTGTGATTTCTTGTACCCAAATATATTATAGGCATGATGATGTCATATGTACACCCATATACAGTATAGGCAAATTACAGGTATTTGTCACAAAAAACCTTGATACAGTAGTATGGCAGTAGTCAGTACTGGTACACATACACTGCTCCCTCCAATTTGAGACCGCTTCTAATTCCGAGACTCCTCTAATTCGAGACCACTTTTTCAAAGAATCAAATAAAAATCTGCAATCTTTTAATTAACACAAATCTTCCCCTCTAATTGGAGGCAAAACCTGAGACCACCCCAAATTTTCAGGTTTCAAGAGTGGTGTTGAATTGGATGAAGGGCAAACTGTATTATTCTACTTGTTACTTTATTTGAATCAGTTTGGATTTGAAACAAAAAAGTATACCTTAAACTGACTGATAGGATATTCTCCCATGATAAATTCATCATAACCTATGACCTTCAGGAGGCAGTCCTCTGGATCTAAGTCTACTCTTATTGGTCGTTTCAGGGCCTGTTCAACCAGCTTTATGGGCCACTCAAAGGCACCAACTCGCAAGTGTGTATGATTGGCATCCTACAGAAAAGAAATGAAAGGTTGTTGATTGGTTCTTTTGAGGCATGTGAAAAATTGTCGTTAGCTGATAAGACCTCGTTAACATTTCTTTTAATATTATGCCCAAGCTTTCCATCAATATCTTTCATGCCTTTCGATGTCCAATGTCTTAATGTCTCGGATGCAATATTGAAACATTTGTTAGTGATTTAAAAATTACAGAAACAGCAATTATGGTTTTGTTTACAACAGACACACTCAGCAACAACATTCACCGAAAAATATACTGGTTTAAAAAGTTTAAACAAACAAAATTTTGGCACCTAATAGCTGCATTATTTAACACTGAAGAAAATTTATTTCAAACATAAATGTGTAATCTACAATCAAATATTCAAACAGAACTTTGAAAGCACCTCATTACTTTTTTTTTTATTTGTAATGTAAAAAATGTGTAAGTCTCATACAGCACCTTTGCCACTTCATTAGAATATTTCACATTAACGATGCACTCGTCATTTGGAAAATGATCCCGAAGGTGTTCTGGAATTTCCATGGAAACTTCAAGCTGTGGTGGGTAGAGGTATTGAGCTTTTTTCATCCAATCCCAGTTGTTACGTTTCTTTTGAATGTTCAAAACCATCTGTTTCATTTTCGTACGGAAGTCATTTACTTCTGGATTTTTCATGGCATCAAACTCATACAAAGCTGAAGTGACAAAAATTAAGTTATTGATATTGGTTAATGCAACAAATACTGTCTTTTTTTCTAATATTCTATTAACAGTATTTCAAAATAACCATCAAACTTGGTGTGTGGGAGGACCTTCCCAAGTGTGATAAATAAGTTTTGAGAAAACACCATCATGATTCGAACTATCAAACCTAAAAATAACCACTCGGCCACTTTACCGAGTTGTTGTACAGGACCTCAATGAAAACCAACTCTATGCAGTGAGTATACAAAAATGTTCAAAATGAAAAATATAAACAATTTATTTTAAAACTATGTCAAATCATGTACAAATAATTATTTCATCATTTGCACATGAATTTCATGCACACTTTAAATTAGTTCATGGCGTAACTTTGGAGCCTGACACCTGGTTAGGAATCGAGGCAAATCAAAACCACCTTATGCATCTACAACACAGACATGTCTTTATTGTCTGTAATTGCTGGCCGCCTTTGAAAAAGAATAACAATGTTTTGAAGTAAGGCAATGTTCTAGTTAAAATTCCAATTAGATTATCACTTTGGATTTGCATCCAGTCTGAAGTTTTTTTTTTTCCAGCAGATATATGTCTAGTCATAATTTTACACTGTGGTTTGATCAGTAGATGGCATCCTGAGGATCAGCTGGCAATACAGGCAGTACAGTATGTTTCTCTTCTGCACCTATTTGATTTTTAAGTACAGCATTACTTTAATTTGTAAAGCCAAATGCTGAAGAATTTTTGTTAAAAACATTGCTTCTCTCTGGTCTATGAAAGATTAGCAATAACCAGGCCTGGAAAAAATATTTTTGTGCTCCGACCATGAAAATTAACTTGATGTAATAAATTACCATTCTTTTCCTTAGTGTAATATATTTAATACATAGAACATTCTAGAATTACATTTATGTGACCAAACTAACAGTGTAAAACTTATTGGTAATTATAGGAACACATGACATATTGTAGAATCCAAGAGTAATATTTAGAAGCTTCTGGACTCTTTGAGTACTATAGAGGCAAATAAGCTTAATTGGTTAATTATGATGTAAGGTGACCAATGAGGAACTCAGGCAATATGGAATGTTCTTGAATGCTCTGGAGTTGTATAGCTAGGGTTATATAAGCTGACAGTTTTACCTTTCTGGGGGTTCTTTTTGAAACACTTATTTATGTGAATAATGTTGTGCTTATTTTGATACCAGATTCTTGTTGGAGTTTATACAGAATAAAAGTTTATTTGAGAGTTGTTTTACAACACTGTGAGCTGTGTTTATATTTTATATATCAAAGAGGGATTCCTAGTCATTTCTATACCGCTCGGAAATACGTCAAGTAGGAATTCATGACACTTGATCAAATGCCTCCAGAACCAAATGTTATCTTTACACTATTATAGAGAAACAGTAGTACAATTAGTGGTTTGGAGCAAGCAAAAATATTAAATTTAATTTTTCATCAAATTGTGATGTGTAAAAAAATTGTTTTTTCCCCCACCAAAATGCTTCCAGGTTAAAGGTCAGTGCCTCCAACTGCCTGTCGCGCACTTTTTCCAGCCCTGGTAATAACTCAGCTGGCTAACATACAGTTGAAGTACAGTAGTCACTGTGTGTGCAATGAACCATAAAAATCTCTGGTTCTATTTAATCATCATCGGCCCCTTTGTGTTTAAGATCAAGGGTTTAATATTTAAGTTACCTACTGTATATCGAGTCGTCTCTAACAGACAATAAAAAAAATTCGTTGGTACTGTGGTAATGAAGGCTTGTGTGCATTTATCTCCGGTCGCAAAGAGGATTGTCTCAGGTGAAACAAGATGATCCCCATGGATGTGAAAACTTCAATGTGTTCTTCAGGCAAGTCCCTAAACCGATCAACACATTAATTGCCAAATTAAAATGAAACAGTTACCTTTTCCAATCAGCATTCCAATCTTTGAATTTAGGAGTTTCTCCTCCAAATCACCAGCTTTTCGAACAACTTGCAGCATTGGACAGAATGGCATAACATCACAGATTCGGCGTTTCTCATCCAAAAGCTCCTCTCGTTCTGCGTTCTGATTGATGCACTGGAATACGTAGAAGTTGAGATCGTGCAATTTATTAAACAGCGGGAATTTGCTAGCCTCCTGCCACAGCTCCTGTGAAGAAGAGAACTTGAAAATTGAAGAACACAGACACATTGAAAAAAAAAATTGTCTATGTGTCTGAACTAATGAATAAAAAAAAATTAAACAAAAAGGTGGAAGGCATGTTACAGATTATTTTTACCACACTGTAAGCATTTGTGGCAAAGACGCCAAACCAGTCACTCGTCGCAAAAATCGATTTTGAGTTATTAATACAGTGTTAGAGAGTAAAATAATAGCTATAAAATGGTAAAAAAAATCATTCAAATCGGAAGTTTAAAGAACAATATATGAGAAATCAGCCTTCAAATTTTATGATTTCAGGCATTTCTCATGCAGAAACTATCATCAAATCTTTAAAAAGTGTTACTTTAACATTGAAAATGGGGAAAATAACAGCATAGAATGATGTATAGATATGTAAAGATTAGTTTAGTGCAATAAAATAGATTTTTAAAAATTTGACATTACAGCATGTTTTGGCCATTTTCTCTGAAACACGATTTGTGACGAGTGACTGGTTTGGCTCGTCTTTGCCACATTTGTACACAGAGTAACCTTTTTAAGGTGAATTAGAATATCCATAAGTCAAGTGCATGTGAAGCAAAAGCTTGTTGTTTGAATGAAGTTTTTTTTTGGTCTGTTTGCTTTGTAGATTACAATTAACAATATTTATCAACAAGTTAGAAAATACAAAGAACTACAATAACCGAAAGATCCACTGATTAATCTCAGATAAGAAAGTATAATACATACTCCAAGTATCGAAATACACGATGGCGTGTATTTTGGTACTTGGAGTAAGAACTACAATATACTGCATACATCATTAATACACTATAACAATGTAAAAACTCATCAACAAAAATATTTATAAAGTATAAAGAAAAAAGTACATCAGGAATAACAATCATAAAATTTCATCAACACGAAAAAAAAAAGTATTGTAATTTTATTGATATAAAATATTTCTTACCCTTTTTATCTGTGTGATTGTCGCATCTCTAGCGCACTTCAGCTGGACAAGAACCCCAGTTGGCATCAGACAGTCTAGCATTATGTCCCCCAGTTGTCCTCCTTGGGTCCATATGTCCCCACTCAAAAATCCCCCTGGCGGCATCTTGATATTGCTGATGAAAACCTAACAGGAAACGGATAGAAAATTAGGTAAATGAATCAGGGCGTATGTTGTGACAGATTATAGGGTTCCAATTATATCATATCATCCTCATAAATATTCGTGACTAAGAAGCACCACATTAGAATACAAAAAAGGAGGTTTATAGTAATATCATTTTTCCAAAATCACTACAGTACCATTATCCTAAATTATAATTATTATATTATTGTAGCCAATCGTAATAAACTTTCTTAGCTGGCACACTGCAGGCTGGCATACTGGAATCCACAGTGCCACACTATCAAATTTGATGTGACAAATACAGTGCTGTGATTTGCCAATCTGTACTAGTACATTATGAAATGACATTATACCCATCTGTAAAGGATGATGACATTATAATGCCCATATTGAGCAATTCATTCAAGATTTTGACATAAAATTTGATAGTGTGGGGGCGGTGGGCAAAGATTTACAGTACGGTAAACCAGCTTTACAGACAACATCTCTCTATTAACAATCACAGTGCATTGCGTGGCCTCTCTAATGGTAGGGAGGGGATGCTAACCAATTATTTTTTTTTACATAGCCTACTGTAAATGAGAATGAATGATTTTTATAGATTAATTTATGAAAATGCCTATTTTGAAGAAAGAAAACATTGAGACATTTTGTTTTAACAAACTGATAAAATATGGAGCCTGATTATACCTGTACAATGATGGTAAGGTCTAGAATGTAATGGCGTCACTTACAGTCACCTGCACATACAACGCAAGTGGAAATGGCGCCACAAGCAGCTCTCTTAGATGGATATGCACACCCAATAAAATGACTTTATTAACTTTGAGTTATTGTCATTTTAACTCTAGAATGCGGTTCGACTCGAATCAACGCTGTGCAGAGAACGCATGTAGAATTGTCACAGGTGAGTGAACCCATCAAATCAGTGCACAAAGTTGTGAACTTGCTAGCTACAACAATACATTGGTGGACACTTTGCAAGCTGTTATATTTACTGTTATCGTTCATTTGATATGAGTTATGCAAGTTTGAAGGAAAAACCATTTTGAATAATTTGTATTCAGACAGATGTTTATAGTTGAGTATATTCAATCAGTGTAATCTAAATTTAAACTTTACAAAAGAAAACTAATTACTGTACAGTTAATTACAGATTATTTTTTGAGATTGGGTTTTGTAAAAAAAAAGTTAAAATATTTTAAGAGTTTACTACCTGGGTGGACTTATACTATGAACTAAAGTAAGCAACAATAATCTAAGACAACATACCATGGAGAAAATATAATGGGCAGAACTATTGTATCCATGTGGCAATACAGAAAATTTACTACAGAAAATGCACTAGAATTTTTCCTTAATTTATTGTATTTTAATGTGTCAAACTCTAACAAGTTTTCTCGGAGTTGTTTTCTTGGAGGTGTAATTGTGAGTTTCCTATTAATGCGAATGAGGCAGTAAGGCAAACCTGTTAATGACTGACGCGGCATGTCTTAAACTGCTTTGGTGGAACTTTCCCATCATTTGACTCTATTTCTACCCTACAGTTTTGGAGTCCTTTGGAGGTTGGCTTTACCCACCAGAACCAGAAACATAGGTACTGTAAGCCTAATTTTCCTCACATGGTACAGTACAGCATCATATTTTAAGATTTTGTTTTTTGAAGAAAAGAAAGAGCACTGTTTACTGTATGATTTATAAGTTGTGTTTTGAGCTTCATTTGCTGGGTTTTCATTTTTTTTCCCTTTTGAAACCAATTAATAGAAAAAAACTGTTTATACTAAAAATACACACAATTGATCAAATACTGAAAGTAAAACTGAAACAATAACAATATTGTTACTGATGGACATTATTTATCAAGTAGAGGCAGCTGCTCAAAAGTTGTCACGCTACAGTGTGCAGCACTGACTACAGTATTTTTTATTTGTCAGAATACTGTAAGTAAATAAATAATAAATAATATAGACCATAAAAAATTAAGTTATCTTTCTGTACTACCATCTGCAAAGCACCTCTAAAATAAAACATGTTAAATGATGACTCAAAGGTTGTTTTGAAGTATTCACTGAAGTTTAATGGCAGTTTCCAGTAAAAATCCAATGAGGAAACATTTCAAAAAGGATATTTAGAAGGTCAAATCGAATCAGAATTGAAACCACCTTATGGTGATTGGTTGCAGTTGAGTTTAGTTTTGAAAAAGCACACACACAGTCAATGAGTTTGGATAAGGATGTTATCATTGCCTTGCATTATAATCAATCAAATGGGTTATCTATAGTTTGTAAATTAATCATGTTTTTCCTGTTTGGAAAGGATAGCTTTAATCAGACCTAATGATGTGTTTTAATTATGTTGAACAAAGGATGCCTTAATCCCTGGGAAGTATTCATTTTACTAAAATTTGAATTTCATATTTTTTTTTTCCTCTGTTTAATTCAACTGAATTTTTAAGAGGGTGTTTTGCGGTACAACTCATTTTCTTCTTGTCCCTGTAAAAAAAATTAATTGGATTATCACTCAAAGTTAAACACTTATTGGAAAAGTGATGCTGGTGGTGGTAATATTATTTCATAACAATAATCTACATAATTTTAGTATTTATAATGACTCTATGCCTACTGCATGCCTGTTATTGGTTGTCATGGTAATGTATAACCTTGTTTTTTTTTATGGTTCTGACACCAATGCATTTGAAGCTAACTCGGCACACTACGTAATTAGTTGTATTTGTTGAAATTGGAAACTGACCAAGGTAGCAAAATCATATTCCTCAAATGTGCTTTTGTTTTATTTTGTTTTTGTTTTTTGTTTTTTTTTTGGGGGGGGGGGGTCTAGGGGTTGAAGAGATTATATTATCCCAAAATTGCATCAAACAAAAGTGACCTTTACAGAACCCTCCCACACTTTTTTATGGGTGGTACATGAAATTTATGCTGGACAATGCCTGTGATAGAGGAACTTTAATGTGTAGGCCCTACACTGGCCTTTAAAGTGAACATGTCTGTTTCATTTAATTAAGTGCTACATGTTTCATTTAAATGTTATTGTACAATTAATGCTATCTGTTTCAATATTTAAAAGTGCTACCCCTTTCCTTTAAGTACTGCTTCTTACATTTAAGTGGAATCTATTTCATTTTAAAAGTATCTCTTCCCTTTGATTTAAGTGCCATTAATTACGTTGTCACCCCTCCCAACATCAGGAAATTTTGTGAAAAAAGTAACACTAAGACAGTTGTACATGGCATTCTAATATAAAGAATTAGATTGTGTTGCTATTGTTATGGAATCGTGAAAAATACATTCAATAATTCGTAAACACGTTTTCTGCCGAATGACTCTAATGACTGTTGTAAGTGCGATATATTATTATGTTGGATATTATGTTGGCATTAATTGATTATATACTCATAAATAAAATTCGCAAATACTGATGTACAGTAACTATGCCAAAAGATTGTACTTTTATTCTATCATTTAGTGACCACATGTTCACCACGAGCCTTGTTGATGCACACCAAACAACCAACACCAACAAAAACCAACACCAACTGAAGTATTGTAGTAATAAATAGGCCTAGATATTATGATCTTTTCTCTTTTTTCTTTCTTCCCCCCCCCCCCCCCTTCTCTCTTTCTCTCTCTCTCCTCTCCTTTTTTTGGGGAGGGGGATTCCCCCGGATCCGCCCCTGCTTTCATACTATTAAACATTTATGGCACCATTTCAACCTGTCATGAATTAGCCAGAACTGAGAATATTAAAAACAAAATGTTTGTGTTAGCAATTTCTGAACTTAATGAAATGATTCTGGAATCTGTGCCATGTGACTCAGACTTGTTTACTGCACAGAAAGGTTGCATAGAGGTCACACGTACATCATAACACAATCATAGAAGAACCACTAACCTACCTTGGTAAGGAAAGTTCAGACTGAAAAACTAGGTTAGAACATACTGTAGACATTTTAATTCATTTTATATTTTAAGTACACATCCAGTGCAATCAGGTCATTTATAAAGCGCCTTTCTTTGCAGATACGAAGCACTGCACCCCACCTCACAACCCACAGGCAGTCAGGATCATTCTCAAGTACAAAACAATTAAACAAATCAAAATAAGGAAGCAGTGGCAAAGTTCAGAATCATAAATAAATAATGCATTAATAAATGAAATAAAAATAAAAATAAAGGTAATAAATTAAAGAGGTGAGTCTTTAAGTTAGACATAAAAGACAGCCACAGTAGGTGCAGATAACACACAACACTGAATTCTCTCTCTTATTGGCTCTAAAGATCTAAGTAATGCACTAATTATTTATTTATTTTATTAATATTACTGTACAAGTTCCATATATTTTTTTAAATGTTGGTACCAATTGTGATGCCGGGGAAGGAGATAAGCTATTCAAAAGGGGGACTAACAAATTTTTAAGTGCATTATAGTGGGTCTACATGTACAATCAGGAAAGCTCCCTGAATCAGCCTGAATCAACTGGCCATTAAGTGTAGGATCAAAAGCTATGGGTGATAGCGTGTACAGTAGCGATCTTATAAAAACCAGTGGCAGTTGGCTTAATTTAATTTAATTTTCATTTTCTTCAGTAAAATTAGAGGGATAAACTCAAAAAGCTCAAAATATAGTGCTTATTTCCATTGTGGTCTTTACATTAAATATATTATGGAAATCATCTTTTAAATAAGAAAATTACTAAGAGATTAATAAATAAATATTATGATAGTGTTGATTTTTCTGGCAGGCATACAGTAATGTCTTGTACTAAACTTGAAAAGCAGTACACTGTCTACTACATTATTTATTTACATTACATTACAGTAAATGGAAAACTCAAAATTGATTTGAATATAAATATAGGAAATTTATTTTTTATGCATACAGTGTTATTGGTTTGCAAAGATTTTTTCTCTTTATTTTATTTTTAACTTCCATCTGAAAGGACAACATACTGTAGGCCTACTTCTAAAACAATACAATGTAAGAAATTT